GTGCCGAGCCCCGAGGCAGCAGCCGCGTGTGCGCTTCGAGCGGCGACCCAGCGCGGGACGCGCGCTACCTCCGCGCCCAGCTCCCCCGCTTCACCTCCCCATCGGTCCTTTCCTGGAGGACTGAGCAACCGCCAGCCCCTCTGCTGCTTGCGCATAGTTGTAGTTTGATGAAAATAACTTTTTAACCTTCAGTCAACCCAAACAGAGTCTTATACCAAGTCATTTTTTTTTGTACACTGTGTAACCTTTGATTATTTTTTCCATTCCCTTTCCAGCCCTTGGGTTTTGTAAAACCTACAACTGCACACCCTATTGCAACCGCAGTTTCATTGCCCCTCTCAACACACTGACAATACCACTTGCTTTTAGGTGATTTTTTTCCTTACTCGTATGTTCTAAGTATTTCATCAGACCTTTTCTTATTGCACCGAATCCAGTGTATTTCCTTGACAGTTATTCAAGCAATCAGGACCCCTGAAATCCTGGGTATTGATTTTCTTCTGCTCTGTCTTGTTTGGGTTTTTTGGCATTATCATATTGCAGGATGTGACCCTCATTGGATCCCACTACCAGAATAAGGAAGGATAGATAAAAACAAAGATTTTTCACAGAATTTACCAAGAACTTGTTCTTGGTCATGTCATCTTACTATTGGAGAGCAGGTAGGGTTTTTTGTAGCAAATGGTATATTCATCAAATTTTTTTTTTTTCATGTGCATACTGAAGGATAATTCTACTTTTGCATTAAACTGCTCCAATTTCTGTGTTACATCATTCCTCTTCAGTCAGAAGCAGAAAATCACATGTGGTCTTCCAAAATTAAAAAGCATGCACAGACAGATCAGATTTGTTTTTGTTATGCTCTCATTAATCCATGCTTTATGAAATGTTTGTGTTGGCACTGGCGATAGGGTAGCGTGGGCTAAATGTGGAAGCACATCGATTTAAGGTAGGATATGGATATGCCTTTGTACATCTGATAGGCCTTTGTGCAATGGCATGCTGGCCACCAGAATGGCATGGCAGCCCCGTCAGAACCATGCCCGGTGCTTGAACAAGCAGAAGGCTCATGGTATGAACTCAACAACCCAGAAGCAATAGGGTTTCCAGCTCGAGAGCCTGTGTTCTGCGAAGGGACGGAAGGTGCTGGAGGTTTGCTGTGACCGGGGCTTCCTGCTGATGGATGCCAAGGACCTTGTGCTACGCCGTGCTCAGATACGCTGCCAGCGTGGTTCCATCCCATCTTGTGGGGCTTACGAACACAGTGGGCCACAGCTATCACTGTGTTTCCCAACAGAAATGGTCTAGAATACTAGTGAAATAGGATCTGTGGCAACCAGAAATGTTGCCCGTGGCCCTGAGAAGTCTTGATAATGTACAAGTCGTAACAGAAAACCCATCTATTTGGGATAGATTTTGAAATATTTTTTTTTTAAGATTTTGTTGCTGCTGTCATCAACTGGGTCAAAGCAATTTTCCTATTACTCATGGAGTCACATTGCTAATTACTGTTACTCTATTTTCATACTGTCACTTATACTGCATTTGTTTACCGACTCTTCCGGTCAATAAGTCACACCTATTAGAACGTTTTAATAGTGTTCAACAGCTGTTTAGTGAAACTTCCAGTTGAACAGTATCCCATCCAGCATACCATTGGATATGACAACAAAAACAGTATCCAGGGGAGCAACGTGAATTACATTTCATGTTTGTTCTTCAGGAGCCCTGACTGATGCAATGTGTTAGCGCACTTGATGCTGGATTAGTGCAGTTGATATTTTTCTCTGAAGGAAGGAAAGTAATCTCAAAACCACTGAAAAAACAAATGAGACTTAAATGTTCAGACTACGAAAGTACACAAAGATGTGCAGTGAGCAAAACTGTATAAAGTAAGGAATGCAAGTCAGGAGCTCTATTTCCTACAAGTTGTCGTAAAAGTTCAAAGGAGAACATCCAGTGAAACTGGGGCAGAGGGATATGCTAGAGAATACTTTTATTGGGGGGAAGTTAGGCTGTCCAGTTAATTGCCATGGCATATGGCTTAGGAAATATACTAATAACAGATTGGAAATTAATAGAGATTACAATGATATAGTGATTCTTTTTAAAATGAGATTTAAAATTCCCTTTAATTTTTTAAAGAAAAACTTATGTGGCAGTGCAGACCTGTCGTATTTGCTTTTTGTAGTGTTCCTTTTCTTTCACCTGAAGCATTTCATAACTGGTGTAGTCATATGTGACCGACAGCATCTTCCTGCTTAATGATGAATTCTTTCTTTTTGTCAACTGGAGCTGCGCAGGGGCAGGAAGAAACTTTTGCTTTTCAAATAGACTTTTTCAAACAAGGTTGCATGTGCTCAGTTGTTGCTTTAATTAAGTTGGTTTTAAATCTGAGGAATAGATTAATAAAACTGAGACCCATAGTTGTACTGAGGAGCATTCTCACAGCATAGCAATATTAGGGGCAAACTTGCTAAGTTAGTTGTAAAAGCTGGGTTTCTCAGTGTCCATCATTCTGTACATGCAAGAAATTGATGAGTATGCTAATCCAAAATGTTAAAATATTGATGGAAAGTGCTGAAATGGCCTAAAATATGGTTAATGTAAGTGCAAGTTATCCACTTCCTTTGTGCAGTTGAAGGTAGCGATTTTGAGAGCAGTACAACAGTATATTTACTGCTGACTACACAGCTGCAAAGCTGTATTTCTGTAGTAATAGGAGCTGATTCCATTAACATTTTTTATTTACTAACAGCAGTTATTTTCACTGAGAAATGAAGAAGCACTGACCACCTACCTTGGTCAAATTTATATATACTCTGCATTCAGCTGTTCTGAAGATCTGTAGTAATGATGATGAGTATAGAAGTACTAGGGTCTGTAGGTATCTAAGCAAAGTCCTACAAAATTAGGATCCTACTGCATTAAGCTACATGACATATTTCCTGCCCCACTGAATTAATGAACTAATAAATAATGGTGAAAAAATTGTTTTTCCCTTGTTGCAGATGGGAATGGGGGCCGGGTGATTTGCTCAAGGTGTTGTATGATGGCTGTAGCAGAGCTGGGAAACTGCACCTTAGTGTTTGGCATCACCAGTTTAAATTCCAGATTGTTTTTTTCTGTGGCATTGACTCCTAGAGGAAGATAAAGAAAACACATGCCTCACTGTGAAGGTATCAGAATAGTTAGAACTGCAGAGCTGCTTCCCTGCAGTAAGTCAACTGCCTGTATTTACTCGATTGCTATACTTGATAAATGTTCCTCCCAAGTTACCCCACATTTTCTTAAACACTGGATTGGGACACAGATCTATGTTCCTTCAGATACTGAATGTCCAAGTAGTAAACTATCAACTTTATCATCACTGCCTTCATAAAAACCCACCAGCCTTACTTATTCAAGTATTTGTAAACATTCAGTGTCTTCGTTGCCATTCTTAGAGGTTTGGCTGGCTATCTTCTCTTTCATGTCCTTCCATCGTCTCTTAGTTCCTTTTCACAAGTGATACTTCCTGTTTACCAATGTTTCTTCAGCTCATGTTGTCTGGGAAGTTGAGAGTTATAAAGCATAGTTTGGAGAGACAAGCTCCATGTGGAAGATGAGAAAACATTCTGCTAAACTGTTGTATAGTATTTTCCAATGTAGGTGGTATTATCTCACATCTATTTCCAGCATACAGAACAAAATCCAACTTGGATTTAAGACTATCTCAGCCTATAGTATAACTTGTAATGTCTTTGGTAATAGTAAGCCTATGAGTAGCATAATATGTTCTGAGAGAATTCTGGGGACCACGTTTGTAGCATTGTCCTTTTTATGTCCTTTGGCAGCATTATTATTCTGTCCATTCTGCTAAAATACTGTGCTAGTGTGTCGTTAACCGTGACAGTTGTGTGCTGGAAAGGTTGTTATTACATAAATGTTCTTGAAACTGGTTTACAGTTATAATGTATGCAGAGGAGCTAAATTACTCCTACAGTTTTCTTTTTTCATCTGTCTTTTTTTGGTTTTGTTCTGTTCCAGATTCTACCCTCTGCTCCTTAAGTATAATGGCTACTAGCAGAGAGTCCATCCTGTGTATACAATCACCCAGGCAAATAACAAGATCGCAAGTATGTTCTTGGAGCACCATGTATACACTGATGAATTCTGCCCATTTTTATGATACAGAAATATATCATCTGTCTCTGAGCAAAGCCACAGACTAGAAAACTCTGGGGAAGGACTCTATAAATAATTTCTGGCTTGCTTAGCTCTTAAATTTTGACAGTCATCTCTGCCTTCCAGAACATTTCTTACATACTGTAAGTCAAGCTCTGCATTTCAGCATTTGCACCCCCCCAAAAAAAAACGGGCTTGCTTCTTATGGAACCTATGGCTACTCTTTAATTTTATATCTAGACAAGAGGAGACTTAGCAACGTAACTCCTGTATTTTTGTAAAAAATCTGAAATCTTTAGCATATCTCTGGAAGGATGTTTGACTTGCTTTCTTTTCTATAGGTTACATCAAGTTGGATTCTTGAAATGGCTGATGTAATGACCAGGATGATGGGATAGAGTGACCTCTCAACAAGTTTGTGGGTGATACCAAATTGGGGGGAGTGGTTGATACACTGAAGGGCAGGGCTGCTACTCAGATGGACCTAGTCAGACTGGAAAAATGAGCTGTTGGGGATCTCATGAAGTTCAGCAAAGGCAAAGCCCTGCATCTGGTCTGGCACAACCCCATGCACTAGGATGGGCTGGGAACTGACTGAATAGAGAGTATTGGTGTAGAAAAGGAGCTGGGGATCGTGGTGCACAAGTTGAATGTAAGTCAACAGTGTGCTCTTGCAGCAGATGTGTCCAGTTGCATACTGGGCTGAGTATAACTGGTAGGTTTGGAGGGAAGTGATTGTTCCCCTCTATTTGACATTTGTGAGACTACACCTGGAGTTCCGTGTCTTCAGAAAGGCACTGACATACTAAAGCAAGGCTAGTGAAGGCCACCAAACTGTTCAGGGGTCTGCAGCTTATGACATACAAGAAGGTGAGAGAGCTGGATTTGCTCAGGTTTAAAGATGATGATGAGGGGAGGTCAAACTGCTGTCTATCGCTTCCTAATGGAAGGGTGTAGAAAAGATGGAGCAAGAATCTTCCCAGAGGTGAGCAAGAGGCAACGAGCACAAGTTACAACACAGGAAATTCAATATAGAAAACATTTTTTTAATAAAGGATTGTCAAATACTGAAACAGCTTGTCCAGAGAGGCTATGGAAACTCCATCCTCAGAGACATTTGTAACTCAACTGGACATGGGTCAAAGCAAGCTGCTTTAATGGGACCTGCCTTGAAGAAGTCCTTTACCACCTATGTGATTCTATGATTTTGTGATGTGATAGCAGATAGCTTCAAACTAGCAGTTCCACCCTGCCAGGGAAAGAGGCTCCAATACTACTTTTCCCTTTGCCTAAAGGTTTTCATGAAACTATGCCCTGCAGACAGGGAAGGCAACAGGCCTGTTCTGCAATAACAAATTCATTGATAATTATTTTTTCCATGTATCACCAACTAAGCTATGTGTATGAACAGGGAAAATCATCTGTACTGAATTCAAAGACAGCTGATACCTTATTTGACTACTTTTATTATCTGGACAGCTTTGTCATAAACAGAGCAGTGCCCTTTTCATAAAGAACTACCTTCCTACCATCTTAACTCACTGCTCTGAAATTCCGTTTCTATGCCTTTGTCCTTGCTGACCATTTCTGAATCTTCTTACAGTCATATTTTTACTGAGATGGGGAGGAAGCTGCAGAACTGCAGGCAGTATTCAAGGTGAAGATAGAACATGGATTTATAGAGACTGTGCAGACTACATTCCACTAAGAGGGAAGAGACAAAAATGCACATATAACTTTGTGTAACTTTTCCTTTTAGTATGTCTACTTGCTCCTTGTTGTCTCTAAATGTTTTAAATTGCTTAAAAATAAAATGCAGGTTTTTCTTACCTGTTTGTTTGTTCACCTCTTGTTGCTTTGTTCTTCATCCTGTCAATGGTGCAACACCCTACTGGTCTGGTCTGCTTGTACTACAGCTTGCTTTCAGGACCCTTCTGTTCATGATGTCTGCTTCCATGAAGAGTTTATGGTGATTGGATGCTTGGCAGAGGATAAAACCCCTAAGTTATGTGTCCTTCAAAGGAAAGGTGAGTAGAATGTAGCCCTTGGCTGTTCCAGGATAATCAGCACAAGAGCTATCTATATTTAAACAGCTTAAATGCCATTCAGGCTGCTTTGGGAACTGGGAAGTTACTGAATGTGTTTGTTGTAAGACAAAAAAAAACAAAAACGTGTAAGTACTGAGGGATGGGGAACATTGGGATTTGCGAGAGAATTTGAGTAGGAAAGAAGTGAATACCAGAAATCCAGTATCTTAAGACATATGGGATCAAAAAGAGGCTCAATAGTGCTGAAGAACTGAGTATCACTTGTCAAGCAGGCTCTGGATATCTTTCTTTGCTGTTGGATTGTCTCCCATCTTAACTCTTTGCTTTTGGTCGGGATGAGGAGTAACTGAACCAGAGAACTGTCAGCACTAACTAACATCATGACTTGCTCTACCTGAAATAAATCAGATACTTCCAAATTAGCCAAAAGATGTAATAGCCATTTGCTGAGCAGTATGCACAGAATGTAAGCGCACAACATGCAGGTCGATGTTCAGTACAATGTCTGCTTAGCCACTAGCTGCTGTTTTGATTTCCAGTGAGAAGTGAGGACTCTCATCTCAAGAGAAGGTGAGAGTTTAAATGCATTCTCAAATCTGGGCTGTCGTGACAAACATATTATTAAGTTTTCAACATAGGCCTATTTTCCACTGCATTTGGAAGGCAGCAAATGCATGGGTACTATATAATATAAACAATTTAGAACAATTTATATATCCTGTCATTATAAAGACTTAAGCTTATGCTTCTTTGCAGTATCAATTACTGGCTTAGGAATACTTTTTCCTAAAACTAAGAAAGAGTTTATGATTCTATGGGGTTTATATTTCCTTAGAAGTGATCAGTTATGGACATGGGAAGACATGTTCAGGATACTTATGAGCAGAAGACTTGTAGACTCATTGTCAGAAAAAGCAAAGAAAACAGTTGAGTTTGAAGGTAGCTGCTGAAATCCCAGTGCCCTGTAAATATGACAGTACTCAGGGAAGACATAGAGAAATGTTGCATAATTTCCATTGTACAAATTGAAAACGGAAATCAATAGACTTGGCAGTCTTAACCCTTGGTTGGTTTTTTTTGTTTGTTTGTTTTATTTTAATACAAGATGACCTGATCCAAATAAATAAATTGCTTCCTTGCTTTCAGATAAGACAAATTCCTAGTGGTGATACTGTATTTACTGAATTCCATAGAGAGCCAGCAAGAAAAACTCTACAGGTCCTGTAACTAATAAAGTTCATAACCATCCTAAACACAAAGACGGGCTTGAAATAAGATGTATGAAGAATCTTGTTTCTATGTATAAAGGAGAAAAAGCTTTAACTGCATATGAGATGCCATCTTAAAATCAATTATTTCAAATGCCATGAACTACCTCTTTTGTACTAGTAGTGATGGAACCACCATTCTTTTTGCATTTAATATACAGAATAAGGGAGCTTGCCACTCTGTGTGTAATTAGCCTTGCTAATTGGCATCAGGATGTACAGGACAGCAAGAAAAAAACAGGAGCTGGGAATCAGTCATAGTAAAGCTTTAAAAAGAATAGTTTTCTCTTCAACTGTTAGAGGTGTGAATTCTTGCTCAACGGATTTAAATTCTTTAAAGCACTTATCCGAAAATATATATAGCATCAAGTCATAGATGATCTCAAGAACTAGCAGTCAAATGGTGCCTAGTAACAAAGCAGTTCATTCCTCTAAGGCCGCCTTTGGTAACTTCTTAGTTTCAAATTTAGGTTGTAGCTTTCACTGATTAGCCTTTTAAAGGTTGCAGAAATAACAGACATATTCCCAAATAGCCATTTTACAGTGATCATGAAAATTTTTCAAATGGCAAGTACTAAATACATTTTTACCTTCTTATAGTATAAAACATAGCGTATTCTAATTGTCTCAGAGTTACTTTACCATATTTTAGTTTAAATTATATTGAATGGTAGGAATTTTGCCTAGCTTTGTTTTGTGACTATAGCATCCCAAAAAATAGGAATAGCATGGTGCTGCATACAAAATTTTATGCTGTCCGTATTCAGATTATCTTTAAAAATAAATAGCTTATGCATACATGACATTCTTACTTCACAGAACAAAACAGTACTGCATAGATGGAGTATTCTGAATTTTATGTGTGGTCTGCACATAAGATCTGCAAACTTTAACTTAATGGTGATTTGATATTCCTGTGAGAATCGTAACCTTTTAACTTCTTAATTCTGTTTGGAATTCTTTCATGCCACATTAATGTTTTAATACTGCTCTAGTTATTTCCTTTCTCAGACAGAAGAAAAGATAAACCCTTATAAGTTTATGTGCCATGTAATCCCTAGGAAGGATTTGCCAGGAACAGATAATCTTTGCTTGTGTCCAAGTCTTATTTAGAATGGAGGGTCAAGGGGAGGCATACCCAAACTTAATTACATAAGCAATTCTAATTAATCTTTATTCTGTAAAATACTATACTGATTGTTTTGTTTAGATTTTGTTCTTTCTGACAGCCATCAAAGTAAATAACTGTATAGTATTTCTCTAAAAAACCAAAAATCACTACTTTAACATCACTCTTTCAAATGCATGGATGTTCAAGGATAAGTGTGAGTTGAGATGATGCTGAAGGTTCATTTTCTTCACCTCCAATCAAGTAGTATTTTTCATTTATTATTTTTTGCTGAAATAATAAATAGTTTGCCTATGTATGTGTGCAAATGTGTTTTGCATATGCATGCAATGAAGTAGAATTAAAATGTAAAGCAAAGTAGTTAATTCTCTGTAATGACTTCATCCCTGATCCTAGGAAAGGGAATGCATCTTCCTTTGCACAGAAAGAAAACACTAAATAATATAAGCACCAAGCAATCACCTTTTTTCACATAAAGAAAGAAATATTTTGTACTGTAGCACATATATTGCATCCCCCTTCAGTTTTCTGTAGTCTGCATAATTAGCTGATTACCCCATAACTGGAAGGACTGGAATTAGGTGGCTCCTTTTATGATCATTATGACTGCAAGTTGAAGGAAGAGGAGGAGCTGCAGCAGTCCCAATTTTACTTGAAATACTGGACTTAGGAACCTATGTGAGAACACTGAGCAGCACAATCCTTTAGAGAGGGTTCACTATTGAAACAGGTGTAACTGCTTACTGGTAGGCTGCTGCTTATGATTTTTTTGGGTCTTTGAATTTTGTTTTTCATCACTTTCTTTTGGCTTCTGCCCATCGTCTTTTCTTCTTAAGCTTAAGACACTTGTCATTTATTCAAAGAGTTGAAGGTCACATCATCTCATCTGACTTGTATGGCGTAGGCCCTGAAATTTCTTGTACCAGCCCAGGTAATTTCTCTTTGAGCAAGCCATATTTTCTATCCACTTAAAGCATATAATTAAATTTGGAGTCACACAATTTTATAAGATAAGGAACTTCCTGTTCTGTTAACAGAAGGACGTCTTGTAAGGGGCCTGTGGCTGGAAAAAAGTTGAATCAAGAGTAGGCACCAGAAGTAAAGATCAGACAGCCTAGTTAGGGGAGGGTTTATTTAAAACTGATTGACTTACTATAAGACGGGACCATACATATTTCAAGTGGGTTATATTTTTATAGTAAAAATAAAATTTAATTAAGACAACCTTTTTTTTCTCGGCAAGAAAAAAGTGGGTTATTGATTAAAATATTTTTTAGAGGTAATGATTTGGGAGACCCTTTGAGAATAGGAAAGAATGGCAGTAAGTTCAATACTGAAATGTTTCAACTGACAGCCAGAGAAGCTTCACTCTTGAGAAAATATAAATAAAATATAATCAATATTCACTACAGGACAGGTTCTGTCCTCAGTTAAACCAGTACATTCCTACAGTCTCTAAAAGGTAACAAAGAAAAATGTATAAAACTATCTAATACCTGAGATTCAGCAGTTTACCGAAGAAAGTACATTTTTATGTAAAAAAATAATCACTGCAACAGCTGCATAGGTTTAAAAACTGAAAGCTCAATTTTACAGATTTAAATAATGAGACCCAGGATAACTGAAGCTCTATACAATGTCAGTGGCAAGGTAGAAATATAAACTTGGAGGAGCCTAGCTGCTTGTCTTACTTTCTGTACTTTGAAGTGTGCTACTGCTGCTTATTCTACCAAGAATAATAATGCTGTAGTTTTAAAGAAAGGCTGACATGCCCAAGTATATGTATGTAGAAAAACCTCAGAAGGCAGGCAACATTTCCTTTTAAAATAGCTTCTAACAATGACTTAGAATAATTATACATTCTCCAGACTGAGGTTTGGAAGAATGTTAACTCTCCTGTTAATTTAAAACCTTCTTTTGTATACAGCCAATGGGTGGGGTGCCACATTTTAGAGTACAACATTCAAGTTAAAAACCCAACCATATGAGGTTGGTTTGAGTCTTATAGCATACAAGCTCAAAACTCGAATTTAGTAGAAGCACAAGTGGCTACAAAAACAAAAATGGATTTATAAAGCAGATTAAATGAGAAAGTGAAAAGTTGATTAGCGCAAAGGTACAAGAAACTGGAGGACTCTGTCGTGCCAACTTCTATGGTAATGGCAGTGCAATTCTATTACAACTGTTTCCTAAAAACATTCCTCCATTACTTCATGTATCCTCTATCCTGCCTTGTAATACCCATATGGGCTAAGATTGTTGTGAAAGGTCTTGCTGCTCCATCAGTGCCATTATTTGTAAACTGCCTGCTCATCTGGATTCTCTTCCATACTTCAGAATTAGAACTCTGTGAAGCTAAGTGTATTGTGTTAGTCCACTGTCATGGAACTCTTACCACTTCTGAAATTGCATCCGTTTATAGGAGTAATTTGTATATACCTAGATGCTTACAATACAGCTCACAGCTGCAGTCATGTCAGCATTAAATGAGGCAGCAGTAGCACAAAGCAGTTCACGCTTGCTTCCCAGAATTCTTGAGCAGTATGTGTACTGGTCTTTCAGATAAAAAGAAAATGTGTTAACCTTATTTTTCCAGATATTAATTTCTTCAGAATAATTCCCTGTGGAATCACTTACTTCCAATGATTGTGTTGTTTACATAGCAACTTTAGTGGTAAATCAATTAAACCCCTGAGATTTTATAATATTAGAGTCATGCCGGCTTGAATACCAAGATGCTGGACAGAAGGATGCAATGTGAAAAAAAAATACTGAATACTTCATAACTGAGATTCTATCAAAAGCGAAGTATTTTTAAACAGTATTTTAACTATTGTTTGTCAAACTAGAAGAATCAGCATTTTAAGGAAATCATACAAGTAGAACAGAAAAGCATGAGAATACTTTGGACGGGGCTTTGAGCAATCTGATCTAGTGGAAAGGGTCCCTGCCTGTGGCAGGGGGGGTGGAACTAGACAATCTTTAACGTCCCTTCCAACCCAAACCATTCTATGATCCTATGAATGCTGCCACAGACACCCTAAGAAAGTCTTTTCTTTAAAGAATCATACATTGCATCAGGTGAACGTGAAACTCCTGAAATGTGCATTGGTGCTGGGCATCTGACATTCTCATAACTTCTGCTCTGCTGCTGGGCTGCTTCTGGACTAATCTACTTGCTAAAGCAGACATGACTATGTGCAAAGACAGCTGAGTCAGCATACGCCTTGCTCCTGGGCCTCTCTTGGACAACTCTTATGAACTGTACGCCCTAAAAGTCACACTAATTTGGCTTTTATGTTACTAACAGATTGAAACCTTCTAGATCTTGGGAAAGCTAATAAAAATAAAGTTGGATTTTTGCTATTCTGGTAAGGAGCTCTCGCTGTGTAGAGAGGTATTCTTCAAGTTCCACCCGTGTTACTTGCTAAAGCACTGCTCTTTAACTGAGTTGGATTATAAACCACTGTTTTCCCCTCCCCCATCCTTATGGGCAGATTTAAATCTCATATATAACCTGTGATGGAAAAGGCATCAGTTCACTTTATCCATATTTCATCTTTTCAGTTACACTAGAAAGCTCTAGCTCTGCGTATCTGTTGTTGTTAACCTCTAAATATAAAGCCAAGCAAAGAAGGACAGGACTACTGAGGGGAAAAATCAAGATATTGAATCTAACAAAAGTGCACAGCTCTGAAGTACAGCTACAACAAGCATTATACATTGATTAATACACTTCCTGAGATTCAGGCTTACAGTGGACGCAGTGACATTCTCCGTCTTCCAAAGGAAGTAATCAGACACACCTTGCATTGTTAAATTAATCAGTGCAGCCATAGTTACAGACGAGAAAATGATAAAATTAAGACCTGATGTAAACAGCTGAAGGTCATGACAATGGGTTAGCTAGTTACAAGTGATGTAAATATTATATTAGCAAACAGGTCGGAAAATAGATGTAATTTTCCTCAATCTCCAGTACCTGTTTATAACATTCAAATGAGTTAAACAACAGTATAGAGAAAAATGGAATAGAATAAAATAACCCAATACGTTAAGTGGGCACAGATTGCTACATTTAAACCTTCTTAACCACAATAAATAATAAGAAAATCATTACTTCTAAAGGGTATTCTTTTCTTCAGGGAAATTGTAAAGACTAACATAATGTTAATAAAATTAAAATTAAAAGCTTCTCGGAAAGAAGAGAGCTGACAAACTAATACCTTCACAATCTGCTTTCCTTGAATCCCTAAAGTATCTTGATATATATAAGTCAGTATCTCATTTTTCAAGATATATTCTGCACTCTTGGAAAGTGTTCTTAGCTCACTGGACAGGAAGTGAGGTGCTGTGACAACTGCCCACAGAACTATCTGAACAACTGACTGCTTATTACCTTGGCCAAAATTACCTATAATCAGCTGGAATAGATCATATATTAAATCAAGAATTAAGGTAATGTACGTATGATTCCTATTGAAATATAGCCTTTATGTCCAGACAGATACATTTGTCTGATCATAAGAAACTTTGCAAGTGTGACTCCCTTAAGAAAATGGTAAATCACCTTAAAAGATTTACAGATCTCGAGGGTATGCAGTGTCAAGGCTCATTAAGCTGGAAAACTGAACTTAATCTACTGAGATCTTACACAGCAGAACTTTTATTTCTGTCAGTCTCTCATTTATTTACTCACTATTTCTAGTCTGATTGTTATAAATCTACATCTTCCATTTCATTTTCCAGTCACATTTTCAAAGCTCTCTGTGTGGCTCTGCAAACAAATCTTGAATTTTCTAGTACAGCAACAAGTTTTATTTGCATATTTTTACCTACTTTGGACAACTAACACTTCAGAAGGATACCTTAGCTAGGCACCCTGATTGTAATGATTAAAAAATTAGCTGCTGCATTTTTGAGGCAGTGTGCTTGAAGAGTGGGTTTGGGTAGTTGCTCTAGAGGCACAGTCAGGTATAGCTTCATATGGTTCCAGCTTTACCACTCTTCCCATTTAAACGTGTGTGACATCAAGGACAGTCTAAACTGTAATAACACTGACAGCCTAACAAGCATGTCTCTATTTTTTCCCCTTTTTCTTCCCCCTGCCAAAGCAAGGTGGTGCATTTTGATTTGTTTCCAAACATACTGAGAGCTCTCAGTAACTCTGACACCTTATGGAGTAAAGCTAGCTGGAGAAAAAAACCCTAGATCCATCTCCCAACTGCCAATTACAACCCTTATTACTCTTAAGAGAAGGTTAAAAGCAGAGTCTGGCATTCACCCCCCGCCCCCCCTTTTTTTTTTTCCTGGCTAACAGAAGATCTCTAACAGGTGATCCATTTGAAAAATGGTTACCTTTTCTGTTCACATCCTCATTACATCAGTTACCCATAACTTCATCACAGTGCAAAGTATTTTACTCCTGATTATCCTCTGAGGCTATTCAGAGGCCTGAAGCTAATGCTCATGATGGTGGCTGGCATTAAGAACTTTCAACTAGCCTCCCTTAACACATGGCTAAAATATTGCACTGAAATTGCTTGATTTTTTTCTAATTCAAGGAGTCCTGTCTAATTTTGAACCTTTCAACCTAAAAGAATTATCTTCCTACTTTTTGTGGATTCAGGTCAGACAAACTTGCAGCTACCCACTAGGATTCAGCTCCTACAAAGGGTGGGCCTGGTCAGAACCCCAGGAAGGGCACGAGGGGGACTCATGCCCTCTGCTGGTCTACTGGGTCAGGACTCCCCTACTGCGGAAGGCAAAATTAATCTCAGATTTAGTAAAATAATCTAGAAGTTCCGGTGAAGCATTACGGAATGACTGTTTACTAACTTTCAATTTTTGCTGTGGATTACAATTGAAACATTGAAACAAACCCAAGATGCTCTCTATTGTAAACTAATACTTAATTTTTATGCAAAGTATCTGACTGATGGATTCCTACACTAACTCTGAGGCAAAACTCCATAGGTGTTTCATTGTCTTAAACAATCTTCAACAATGTTTTAACAAGCAAGAAATCTTAAATTAATTTAAAAAATGCTAAGTAGTTTCCTAAGGGAAAAAAAATCTTCATAGCTAACATCAGGCTTGTATCATAAAAGTTAGTTTAACTTGCCTTTGTAGCTGTTCTCCAAATAGTCTGCTGCACCTCCATCACCATCAATTTCTTAGTGATAGCAGAAATCACTTCTATGCTAGGGCATTACCACTGCATGCAAAAAGTAAATGAACTACAGCTGAGACATGGTTGTTAAGAGTACCAAGTCACAAACACAGCTGTGCAACATGCCATTTGTGTAGGAAGATACTGTTATACTCTTTAGCTCAAGTCTAAGGGTAATTGGATAATAATAATATATAGATGTTTAACAAAGAATAAACAAAAAAGTAAAAAACCAACAAAAATTTATTTATACAGAGATACGTGTTGTCTAGTATAGGATATTCTGTTGTTGCATGGCTTTCAAAAAAAAGTATAGTCTGATGTAGCTGCTGTTAAAAAAACCCAGTTAATCTTCTTTTCAGGGGTCAAGCCCACAATTTGACCAGTAAATGCTGGAAATGCCAATGTACCTTTAATCATCATTTAAAAAGGAAAACCTTTTGCTGTTTCAGTAATGTCTTCAGTTAAGGTTTTTAACAGCAAGGTATCCACACGACAGAACAGGTAAAATACCACAGAGAGTATAACTTGCATACAATACTCAATGTTTTATCATGGAGATATTAAGAAACCATCACTACCAACAAAAAAGCCAAAACAAAACTTAATGTTGGCAATACCTTTCGTGGGAGTCCTCCTTCATAAACTGGCCAGCTACAAAAATGTGCAATAGGTCTTCCTATTTTGGTCAGAGCACTGCTCACTCATCTCTGGGTATCCTAAGCGAAAGAGTGGTGTCAAGCAGTAGCAGAAAACAGAACAACAGCGTGGACACCCCAGAAAAACCAACCAACAGCAAACTGACTTTTAGAATGGATTACATTAAACTACATTTAATCTGTACATGATTATTTAGAGGGCATTATTTTGATTAATGGAATTGTTCATAGCCTAATTTAGTTCACTTTAATTCCACAGGTTTCTCTTCTCAAAAATATAATATGGCTTAACTGTTTCAATCTGCTTAATGCAGGTCAATACTCCTGAGTGTGCCTTCAACAGAGTTCTATATTTCATGCTCTTGCTTTAGATGAAGCTCTATCTTGCTGAAGTATTCATAGAAAATATGTACATATTCTTTGTTGTTATTTCCTTTGGTAGTAGCTGTAACATATTCATGTCTGACCAAAACTGACTGTCTTTACAGATGTTAAAAAAAATACATTTTTTGAAATTTCTTGTTCCAGTTATTCAGGGAGATATATTTTATTTCCTTCCCCAAAATACATGTGGAGTTGGAATAATCATATATTCCATAACCACTGTTTAAGAGAGCAATGTCATCATACATATGTATACATGATAGAATTCTGGGTCCGGGAAAGAATCAAGGACTCTCAAAACAGCAAAAGCAAAACAGTGTTAAGAGATTACATTTCTGGAGTTATCTCTACACATAAATTACTTATTTATGTCCAAAATTCTAGTGAACTGTAATCCTAACATCAGAATGCGTTGCATGATAAGGACTTCAGATGCTTCAGATAAACGAATACACTGAGAAAACTTACTTGTCTTCATCTAAAACTATTACATCATTCACAGCTATGTGAGCCTCCTGATCAGTAAGCACATAATAAATATGGGTTCGAAGGCAATTTACTTTATAACATTTGAATTGTAAAAATCAGACTGGTTTGGTTTTGTTTCCTCATGAAAAAATTGTTCACATTTCAGGAGAAGTCCCTTTGCTTGTTTTGTTTTATAAGCTACTGTGGAAAAAAAATGTTCAAAAAGCTGGCCATGTTTTTGAAAAAGACAGCTGCATGAAAGCCTTAATTTCCATTTCCTGTAACTGCCAACTCTTCCTTAGCTCAAAATATCACTTTACGTAAACAAGGGGATTCACGAGGGATTTTTTTTTTTTTAAATCCCTCAATCATAAATCTTAAACCATAAATCTTAAGATTCTATCATAATTTAACAAGGAACACATCTACTTCTAGAGTAAAGCAGTGGAAAGGATAGAATCTTAATTTTCTTCTCTCTTAAATACTATTTTTAAAAAAATCTACAATTGCATGTTTTTCAGGCTGTAGCTTGGCCAAATCTGAAACCAGACATAAAGATAGCGAGCTTGGAAGATGCGATGAACCAGTGGCAGAGCAACAAGGGCATATTTCAGTGACTGAATCTTGGAGTGCAGTTTAGGTGTCCTCGGAATGCAGGACTCAGTTCTTCACTTTAAGCACTTCCTTCAATAACTAATGGGTTAAAAACTCTATGACCCTAAGGAATTTCAGTCAGGAAGAGAAAATCATTGTAAAATCACAACTGTTGTCCTTCACCTGAAGCTTATAGACATACATGATAGAAAGGTAAAAAACATCAAGATGAAAAGCATAGCTATTACTTAGTAACAGTGACAGTCTTACAGGATTTTAATCTTTTTTAGAGGGAATTATCCATGCTTAATTTACTTAATAGGGAAAAAGACTGCTCATGCCAGCCTTTTATCTTCCCTTAGGTTAGCCTTAGTCAAGAAAGAAAAAAGAAAGGGGGCAACAGAGGTGTAGAACATGACAGGTATTTGTGATGGAGAAGATGCATCACCACTTCTGCTGCCAAATATTCCGCCATGACTTGAGAAATTCACATTTCTGATTCCAAACAAAAAAAGTTGCAATAGCTAGTTTGGATTTAAAGTAAAAGTAATGAAAAAGGAATGTGTTTCATCAGGCTTGTTTTTCAAAACATCCTGCAAATAATGGAACACAGGTAACAACTGTTGTTCAGACTGTATCTTTCATGATTTTATAGGAATAATTTTTAAAGGAGATTCTCCTAAATATATGGCATTCTAAATTTAAAATTTAGACTATGATAGCAAAATCACAAATAAAGATGACAAAACTTCTTTGGGATTTTAAAATAAACATATCTGAAACTAAAATACTTTATATGTAGTGATATGTGTAATTGTACCAGCCTGTCCTACAACAGATTATTCAGTCTATTTTTCAGCTTGAAGCTTGGCATATAGAATTCCTTTAATTCAACTTCAATGAGGTTCTTGGTCAGTCTTATAAAATCAACTAAAACATACGCTTCTTAACAATTCTACCACAGTGTCTAAGTTTATCACAGAACCTATTATTCTCCAAAGCGTGGAAAAGCTCTGTAACTTCTAGTTTAATCTAGTACATTAAGTTTTTGCTTGTAGTGTCAAATAATTAACCTGGTTAGTTTGTTCAAAATCATCAGTGCAAACAGTGATGAAACATTTATCGTCTTAAAACTGCTTTTAAGATGGCAGAAGGGTAATTCTCCAAGACAGCAACCGAAAGATTTTCTAGCTCTTTATTCACGTTCTACCAGTGTACAGGGTAACGTCCTTGATACAGAAGTACGGTGTTTCCAAATTCCCTTTAAAGAATACGTTAAACTCTCTCACATGCAACAGTAATGAAGCTTCATTTTTCATCTCAGTATAACAAGGTCAGCAGTTGAAATTGTCAAAAAAATAATGTTAAGTTTATGTAGGCTTCCACAAGTAATATTTTCAAATTAAGAGGTAATGATTTTATGTAACGGGATTAGTTATCAGTTAACTCATGATGTTAGTTCAGGATGGTTTAACTACTACTCTTTTCCCCTCCAAGTAGTTATTATATCATGTAATTCATTTAAACAAGGAAGGAAAATAATTACTTGTTACCCTCTTCCAATTTAATTCATATGAAAGGTAAATATATTACTTACACAAAAGCTTACTTGGTCAGACATTTACATTACTTATCTTGCCATGTTCTCAAGTTATTTGCACACCTTGTACCTGTCACTGAAACCACAACTCTACAGCTCCCACTTTAACACCATGCCTAGCTATACACTGCTGTGCTTTGAAAGCTCCTTTACGGGGTACAACTTGTTATAACACCTGAACAGTTTGTTCAATAACCTCTTAATTCTAACACAAAATTTACTTTGTTTTCTAAGTGTTTGATAGGTAGGGTATTTGTATAGACATTTTTAGTAATTTACTTTCACTTGATGCAATTTTCAAGCTCACTTCTTCAGTCTGTATTGGAGCTGAAACATTCCCAAAGTAGCCAACCCACCAGTGGAATTCTCAACAAGCCATTGTCCAAAGGTGAACAGTATGTAGCCAATTCTAACAGCAGGCTTAGAAAAATCAGCAACATCATTTATGTAATACTTATAAATCAAAAGGATTAACAGTTAGGATTAATATTTTCATTGTGGTACTATAAGCCAAAAGATCTTACCTCAGTAATGGTTTGTTGTTCTGGATAAGAATGATCATAATGCTTGCCTTCTTAAGCTGTTCAGCGTTCAAACTACTGTAATTTGGAACTGGATAAGCCTTCTCGCCATTTTTAGGGTTTATTTCATAGTTTATGATCCATGGGTATAACTGTTGTTCTACACATGATTTTTTTTACTCTTTTTGTTTCTCTCACCTCCCTTTAGTTCCTGCAGTAAGCAAAATCCCAATTTCACATTGAGTCCTATGGGACTTTAAAATTTCATTCTATACACTTAATCATTAATGATTTAATATGTGACTACTACCATTAAATTGTCACACTCAGTCTCAAGAATCAACATGACTGAGATCAACTGGAGGTAATTTGTCCTTGGAGCAGGGAAAACCCTCAAGGCAGAACTTCAACAATTTATTCTTACAGTCCCTCCACGGTAATTAGAGTGGAACAATGTTTAATACAGGTGCGCTTCACCAGGTCAGGGAGCCTTCCATCAGTATAACTTCACCTGAGAAACTACTAATTGGCTCTATTCCTTTCAGTCTCAATTAATGGCAGTGTAATTTGTATACTGTATTTGTTAAAACCTGTAAAGCTTTTCTTTATACAGTTCTACCATAGAGGCCCCATCAGTGTCTCAAATTCTTTTTTATCACATTATTTGCGGGGACGTCTGTACAAGACTGGTCAGCTGCACTACTGACATTGCCCTCATTAATGCTACTGGAAAGAAAGAAAGAGTATTATTAGAACACCAATTATGTCCACTGTAAGAGAGGAAAAAACCTCAACCCCTCACGCTCGAGAGAGCATTCCAGGTTGTCTCTGTAACTCAGCGATTGCCTGGGCAGGGTATGTGCGCCAGCAGAGGTGGACCTGCTCCCTGGCACAAAGGCCCGTGCTGTCCTCACCTGCCACTGGTGCCATCAGCCGCTGAGAAAGCAATGACAGAACAACGTTCCTCACACCTCCCGCTTACTCATGTTTTATTACATGGCAATAGAGCTTTCAAAAACGCATTTCATGAGTTCCAGTATAAAGAGTCAAAAGATACAACAAGCTCCCGGCTTCATGAATACTTATCCCAGGCGAGTGACAAAGAATACCTCGGGTCGTGTCGGTGCGCGGGAAGGGAAGAAGCCGCGCGCCGCAGGGCAGCGGCCAGGCTGCCGCTCCCGAGACCGAGCG